CATTCATGTTAACTCAGGGTCATTTATGTTAACTCAGGGTCATTCATGTTAACTCAGGGTCATTCGTGTTAACTCAGGGTCATTTATGTTAACTCAGGGTCATTCATGCTAACTCAGGGTCATTCATGTTAATTCAAGGTCATTTATGTTAACTCAGGGTCATTCATGTTAATTCAAGGTCATTCAAAGTTAACTCAGGGTCATTCATGTTAATTCAAGGTTATTCAAAGTTAACTCAGGGTCATTCATGTTAACTCAGGGTCATTTATGTTAACTCAGGGTCATTCATGCTAACTCAGGGTCATTGATGTTAATTCAAGGTCATTCAAAGTTAACTCAGGGTCATTCATGTTAACTCAGGGTCATTCATGTTAACTCAGGGTCATTCATGTTAATTCAAGGTTATTCAAAGTTAACTCAGGGTCATTCATGTTAACTCAGGGTCATTCAAAGTTAACTCAGGGTCATTCAAAGTTAACTCAGGGTCATTCATGTTAACTCAAGGTTATTCAAAGTTAACTCAGGGTCATTCACGTTAACTCAAGGTCATTCAAAGTTAACTCAGGGTCATTCATGTTAACTCAGGGTCATTCATGTTAACTCAGGGTCATTTATGTTAACTCAGGATCATTCAAAGTTAACTCAGGGTCATTCATGTTAACTCAGGGTCATTCATGTTAACTCAGGGTCATTCATGTTAACTCAGGGTCATTCATGTTAACTCAGGGTCATTCATGTTAACTCAGGGTCATTCATGTTAACTCAAGGTCATTCATGTTAACTCAAGGTCATTCATGTTAACTCAGGGTCATTTATGTTAACTCAGGGTCATTCATGTTAACTCAGGGTCATTCATGTTATCTCAGGGTCATTCATGTTAACTCAAGGTCATTCATGTTAACTCAGTGTCATTTATGTTAACTTAGGGTCATTCATGTTAACTCAAGGTCATTCATGTTAACTCAGGGTCATTTATGTTAACTCAGGGTCATTCATGTTAACTCAGGGTCATTTATGTTAACTCAGGGTCATTCATGTTAACTCAAGGTCATTCATGTTAACTCAGGGTCATTTATGTTAACTCAGGGTCATTCATGTTAACTCAGGGTCATTCCTGTTAACTCAAAGTCATTTATGTTAACTCAGGGTCATTCATGTTAATTCAAGGTCATTCAAAGTTAACTCAGGGTCATTCATGTTAACTCAGGGTCATTCATGTTAACTCAGGGTCATTCATGATAACTCAGGGTCATTCATGTTAACTCAGGGTCATTCATGTTAACTCAGGGTCATTCATGTTAACTCAGGGTCATTCATGTTAACTCAGGGTCATTCATGTTAACTCAGGGTCATTTATGTTAACTCAGGGTCATTCAAAGTTAACTCAGGGTCATTCGTGTTAACTCAGGGTCATTCGTGTTAACTCAGGGTCATTCATGTTAACTCAAGGTCATTCATGTTAACTCAGGATCATTCATGTTAACTCAGGGCCATTCATGTTAACTCAGGGTCATTCATGTTAACTCAGGGTCATTCATGTTAACTCAGGGTCATTCATGTTAACTCAGGGTCATTCATGTTAACTCAGGGTCATTTATGTTACCTCAGGGTCATTCAAAGTTAACTCAGGGTCATTCATGTTAACTCAGGGTCATTCGTGTTAACTCAGGGTCATTCATGATAACTCAAGGTCATTCATGTTAACTCATGGTCATTCATGTTAACTCAGGGTCATTCATGTTAACTCAGGGTCATTCATGTTAACTCAGGGTCATTCAAAGTTAACTCAGGGTCATTCATGTTAACTCAGGGTCATTCATGTTAACTCAGGGTCATTCATGTTAACTCAGGGTCATTCATGTTAACTCAGGGTCATTCATGTTAACTCAGGGTCATTCATGTTAACTCAGGGTCATTTATATTAACTCAGGGTCATTCATGTTAATTCAAGGTCATTCAAAGTTAACTCAGGGTCATTCATGTTAACTCAGGGTCATTCATGTTAACTCAGGGTCATTCATGTTAACTCAGGGTCATTCATGTTAACTCAGGGTCATTTATGTTAACTCAGGGTCATTCAAAGTTAACTCAGGGTCATTCATGTTAACTCAGGGTCATTCGTGTTAACTCAGGGTCATTCATGTTAACTCAAGGTCATTCATGTTAACTCAGGATCATTCATGTTAACTCAGGGTCATTCATGTTAACTCAGGGTCATTCATGTTAACTCAGGGTCGTTTATGTTAACTCAGGGTCATTCATGTTAACTCAGGGTCATTCATGTTAACTCAGGGTCATTCATGTTAACTCAGGGTCATTCATGTTAACTCAGGGTCATTCATGTTAACTCAGGGTCATTCATGTTAACTCTGGGGCATTCATGTTAACTCAGGGTCATTCATGTTAACTCAGGGTCATTCATGTTAACTCAGGGTCATTCATGTTAACTCAGGGTCATTCATGTTAACTCAGGGTCATTCATGTTAACTCAGGGTCATTCATGTTAACTCAGGGTCATTCATGTTAACTCAGGGGCATTCATGTTAACTCAGGGTCATTTATGTTAACTCAGGGTCATTCATGTTAACTCAGGGTCATTCATGTTAACTCAGGGTCATTCATGTTAACTCAGGGTCATTCATGTTAACTCAGGGTCATTCATGTTAACTCAGGGTCATTCATGTTAACTCAGGGTCATTCATGTTAACTCAAGGTCATTCATGTTAACTCAAGGTCATTCATGTTAACTCAGGGTCATTCATGTTAACTCAGGGTCATTCATGTTAACTCAGGGTCATTCATGTTAACTCAGGGACATTCATGTTAACTCAGGGTCATTCATGTTAACTCAGTGTCATTCATGTTAACTCAGGGTCATTCATGTTAACTCAGGGTCATTCATGTTAACTCAGGGTCATTCATGCTCACTCAGGGTCATTCATGTTAATTCAAGGTCATTCAAAGTTAACTCAGGGTCATTCATGTTAACTCAGGGTCATTCATGTTAACTCAGGGTCATTCATGTTAATTCAAGGTTATTCAAAGTTAACTCAGGGTCATTCATGTTAACTCAGGGTCATTCAAAGTTAACTCAGGGTCATTCAAAGTTAACTCAGGGTCATTCATGTTAACTCAAGGTTATTCAAAGTTAACTCAGGGTCATTCATGTTAACTCAGGGTCATTCAAAGTTAACTCAGGGTCATTCATGTTAACTCAGGGTCATTCGTGTTAACTCAGGGTCATTTATGTTAACTCAGGGTCATTCATGCTAACTCAGGGTCATTCATGTTAATTCAAGGTCATTTATGTTAACTCAGGGTCATTCATGTTAATTCAAGGTCATTCAAAGTTAACTCAGGGTCATTCATGTTAATTCAAGGTTATTCAAAGTTAACTCAGGGTCATTCATGTTAACTCAGGGTCATTTATGTTACCTCAGGGTCATTCATGCTAACTCAGGGTCATTCATGTTAATTCAAGGTCATTCAAAGTTAACTCAGGGTCATTCATGTTAACTCAGGGTCATTCATGTTAACTCAGGGTCATTCAAAGTTAACTCAGGGTCATTCATGTTAACTCAAGGTTATTCAAAGTTAACTCAGGGTCATTCACGTTAACTCAAGGTCATTCAAAGTTAACTCAAGGTCATTCATGTTAACTCAGGGTCATTCATGTTAACTCAGGGTCATTCATGTTAACTCAGGGTCATTTATGTTAACTCAGGATCATTCAAAGTTAACTCAGGGTCATTCATGTTAACTCAGGGTCATTCATGTTAACTCAGGGTCATTCATGTTAACTCAGGGTCATTTATGTTAACTCAGGGTCATTCATGTTAACTCAAGGTCATTCATGTTAACTCAGGGTCATTTATGTTAACTCAGGGTCATTCATGTTAACTCAAGGTCATTCATGTTATCTCAGGGTCATTCATGTTAACTCAAGGTCATTCATGTTAACTCAGGGTCATTCATGTTATCTCAGGGTCATTCATGTTAACTCAAGGTCATTCATGTTAACTCAGGGTCATTTATGTTAACTCAGGGTCATTCATGTTAACTCAAGGTCATTCATGTTAACTCAGGGTCATTTATGTTAACTCAGGGTCATTTATGTTAACTCAGGGTCATTCATGTTAACTCAGGGTCATTCATGTTAACTCAAAGTCATTTATGTTAACTCAGGGTCATTCATGTTAATTCAAGGTCATTCAAAGTTAACTCAGGGTCATTCATGTTAACTCAGGGTCATTCATGTTAACTCAGGGTCATTCATCTTAACTCAGGGTCATTTATGTTAACTCAGGGTCATTCATGTTAATTCAAGGTCATTCAAAGTTAACTCAGGGTCATTCATGTTAACTCAGGGTCATTCATGTTAACTCAGGGTCATTCATCTTAACTCAGGGTCATTTATGTTAACTCAGGGTCATTCATGTTAATTCAAGGTCATTCAAAGTTAACTCAGGGTCATTCATGTTAACTCAGGGTCATTCATGTTAACTCAGGGTCATTCATCTTAACTCAGGGTCATTTATGTTAACTCAGGGTCATTCATGTTAATTCAAGGTCATTCAAAGTTAACTCAGGGTCATTCATCTTAACTCAGGGTCATTCATCTTAACTCAGGGTCATTCATGTTAACTCAGGGTCATTTATGTTAACTCAGGGTCATTCATGTTAACTCAAAAGGTATTTGTGTTACCAAGAATCATTTAAGGCCACATGTGGGGGCGTGTATATATATATATATATATATATATATATATATATATATATATATATATATATATATATATATATATATATATATATATATATATATATATATATATATATATTATATATATTTGATATGTTCAATGAAATGAAAACAGTACGAGCAATTATTGAACACTTGTAAACCACTGATGAATACTGATGAACACTAGTGAACATTGATGAACACTGATGAACATTAATGAACACTGATGAACACTGCTGAACACTGTGGTACTCACCATGTATGAGGGCACCGTCTTGAGGAAGGCCCTGACCTTCTGATCCGTTGCATGTTGGTTAACAAGCTTGGCTCCTTGTCCCTGTAAGATGATGTCCTCCAGGGAGTCAACATCAGCAGACCGGATGTACTCCCTGATCTTGGCTGACCCGGGTCCGCTCTCGTTGGCCAGGGCTGTCCGGGAGAGATAGATAGGGTCAGGGAGAGGTAGATAGGGTCAGGGAGAGGTAGATAGGGTCAGGGAGAGGTAGATAGGGTCAGGGAGAGGTAGATAGGGTCAGGGAGAGGTAGATGGGGTCAGGGAGAGGTAGATGGGGTCAGGGAGTGGTAGATGGGGTCAGGGAGAGGTAGATAGGGTCAGGGAGAGGTAGATAGGGTCAGGGAGTGGTAGATAGGGTCAGGGAGAGGTAGATAGGGTCAGGGAGAGGTATATAGGGTCAGGGAGTGGTAGATAGGGTCAGGGAGTGGTAGATAGGGTCAGGGAGTGGTAGATAGGGTCAGGGAGAGGTAGATAGGGTCAGGGAGTGGTAGATAGGGTCAGGGAGAGGTAGATAGGGTCAGGGAGTGGTAGATAGGGTCAGGGAGTGGTAGATAGGGTCAGGGAGAGGTAGATAGGGTCAGGGAGTGGTAGATAGTGTCAGGGAGTGGTAGATAGGGTCAGGGAGTGGTAGATAGGGTCAGGGAGTGGTAGATAGGGTCAGGGAGAGGTAGATAGGGTCAGGGAGTGGTATATAGGGTAAGGGAGAGGTAGATAGGGTCAGGGAGTGGTAGATAGGGTCAGGGAGAGGTAGATAGGGTCAGGGAGTGGTAGATAGGGTCAGGGAGTGGTAGATAGGGTCAGGGAGAGGTAGATAGGGTCAGGGAGTGGTAGATAGGGTCAGGGAGTGGTAGATAGGGTCAGGGAGAGGTAGATAGGGTCAGGGAGTGGTAGATAGGGTCAGGGAGAGGTAGATGGGGTCAGGGAGTGGTAGATTGGGTCAGGGAGTGGTAGATAGGGTCAGGGAGTGGTAGATAGGGTCAGGGAGAGGTAGATAGGGTCAGGGAGAGGTAGATAGGGTCAGGGAGAGGTATATAGGGTCAGGGAGTGGTAGATAGGGTCAGGGAGAGGTAGATAGGGTCAGGGAGAGGTAGATAGGGTCAGAGAGAGGTAGATAGAGTCAGGGAGTGGTAGATAGGGCCAGGGAGAGGTAGATAGGGTCAGGGAGTGGTAGATAAGGTCAGGGAGTGGTAGATAGGGCCAGGGAGAGGTAGATAGGGTCAGGGAGTGGTAGATAAGGTCAGGGAGTGGTAGATAGGGTCAGGGAGTGGTAGATAGGGTCAGGGAGTGGTAGATAGGGTCAGGGAGTGGTAGATAGGGCCAGGGAGAGGTAGATAGGGTCAGGGAGTGGTAGATAAGGTCAGGGAGTGGTAGATAGGGTCAGGGAGAGGTAGATAGGGTCAGGGAGAGGTAGATAGAGTCAGGGCCGAAGGGTTATGTTAAGTGGGAGGGTTTTGTGTGATGGGAAAAGTGTTTGGGTCGGTATAGGGTATAGCGACACCTGTTTGAATGTGTTTTATAGTATATATGAATGTTTTATACCAGACTGGATTGTGTTACGGCGGACTTGTGCCGGACACAGCTTAGGACGGTAAGGGGACGTTAATATAATGTTGGCACTCCATTCTACTCCCACTATAATTACCCCCTACCCCCTCTCTCTACCATACTCCCCCTTCCACAACCATACCCTAACTTTCCCCACTCCACCACACCTCTACCACCCACACTACCACCACCCCACTACCACCACCACCACACCCCAACCACCCCCACTCCACCACCCCACTACCACCACCACCACACCCCAACCACCCCCACTCCACCATAACCACCACATTACTAACACTTACGTGCTAGTGGCAGGCTTGGAGGATAATTGAAAAGGAAAAGTATGCAATTAAGTCGGTCAAAGGTCAATTAACGGATGACGAGCGAGTAGTTGGGTAGTTAGTGCAGAAATTACTTGGGGGCGTCAAGGGTTAGAAATCATGTGCTTAGAATAATAATATTATTATTATTATTATTATATTCAAAGAAATATATTACTGTAAGTATCAATACGAGTAATCAATTGGAGCTGTGAGGTAGACTCGAACCTGCGTACTATACCACCACTTGATGTTAAGTAATTCAAACTGTAAGTTCTCATTTTAACTACTTTTCCTACACCAGCGGGTCTCTGAGTATGGAGTGGGGGGTGGTGGTGGTGGAGTGGGGGGTGGGTGTGGTGCAGTGGGGGGTGGGTGTGGTGGAGTGGGGGGTGGTGGTGGTGGAGTGGGGGTGGGTGTGGTGGAGTGGGGGGTGGGTGTGGTGGAGTGGGGGTGGGTGTGGTGGAGTGGGTGTGGTGGAGTGGGGGTGGGTGTGGTGGAGTGGGGGTGGGTATGATGGAGTGGGGGTAGGTGTGGTGGAGTGGGAGTGGGTGTGATGGAGTGGGGGTGGGTGTGGTGGAGTGGGTGTGATGGAGTGGGGGTGGGTGTGGTTGAGTGGGGGTGGGTGTGGTGGAGTGGGGGTGGGTGTGGTGGAGTGGGGGTGGGTGTGGTGGAGTGGGTGTGATGGAGTGGGGGTGGGTGTGGTGGAGTGGGTATGATGGAGTGGGGGTGGGTGTGGTGGAGTGGGGGTGGGTGTGGTGGAGTGGGTGTGATGGAGTGGGGGTGGGTGTGGTGGAGTGGGGGTGGGTGTGGTGGAGTGGGTGTGATGGAGTGGGGGTGGGTGTGGTTGAGTGGGGTGGGTGTGGTGGAGTGGGTGTGATGGAGTGGGGTGGGTGTGGTTGAGTGGGGGTGGGTATGATGGAGTGGGGGTGGGTGTGATGGAGTGGGGGTGGGTGTGGTGGAGTGGGTGTGATGGAGTGGGGGTGGGTATGATGGAGTGGGGGTGGGTGTACTCACCTAGTTGTGCTTGCGGGGGTTGAGCTCTGGCTCTTTGGTCCCGCCTCTCAACTGTCAATCAACAGGTGTACATGTTCCTGAGCCTATTGGGCTCTATCATATCTACACTTGAAACTGTGTATGGAGTCAGCCTCCACCACATCACTTCCTAATGCATTCCATTTGTCAACCACTCTGACACTAAAAAAGTTCTTTCTAATATCTCTGTGGCTCATTTGGGCACTCAGTTTCCACCTGTGTCCCCTAGTGCGTGTGGCCCTTGTGTTAAACAGCCTGTCTTTATCAATCCTGTCGATTCCCTTGAGGATCTTGAATGTGGTGATCATGTCCCCCCTAACTCTTCTGTCTTCCAACGAAGTGAGGTTTAATTCCCGTAGTCTCTCCTCGTAGCTCATACCTCTCAGCTCGGGTACTTGTCTGGTGGCAAACCCTTGAACCTTTTCCATTTTAGTCTTATGCTTGACTAGATATGGACTCCATGCTGGTGCCGCATACTCCAGGATTGGTCTGACATATGTGGTATATAATGTTCTGAAAGATTCCTTACACAAGTTTCTAAAGGCCGTTCTTATGTTAGCCAAACTGGCATATGCTGCTCCTGTTATCCTCTTGATATGAGCTTCTGGGGACAGGTCTGGCGTGATATCAACCCCCAGGTCTTTCTCTCTCTCGGACTCTTGAAGTATTTCATCTACCAAGTGATACCTTGTATCTGGTCTCCTGCTTCCTACCCCTATCTTCATTACATTACATTTGCTTGGATTAAACTCTAACAGCCATTTGTTCGACCATTCCTGCAGCTTGTCCAGGTCTTCTTGAAGCCTCAAGCTGTCCTCCTCTGTCTTAATCCTTCTCATAATTTTGGCGTCGTCAGCAAACATTGAGAGGAATGAGTCTATACCCTCTGGGAGATCATTTACGTATATTAGAAACAGGATAGGTCCAAGTACAGAGCCCTGTGGGACTCCACTGGTGACTTCACGCCAGTCTGAGGTCTCACCCCTCACTGTAATTCTCTGCTTCCTATTGTTTAGGTACTCCCTTATCCACTGGAGCGCCCTACCAGTTACTCCTGCCTGTTTCTCCAGCTTATGCATCAACCTTTTATGGGGTACTGTGTCAAAGGCTTTCCGACAGTCCAAAAAAATTCTATCAATCCTGTAAGGCAAGATTTACCCTCCCTGAACCCATGTTGATGGGTTGTCACGAAGTCTCTTCTCTCCAGATGTGTTACTAGGTTTTTTCTCACAATCTTCTCCATCACCTTGCATGGTATACAAGTTAAGGACACTGGCCTGTAGTTCAGTGCCTCTTGTCTGTCACCCTTTTTGTATATTGGTACTACATTAGCAGTCTTCCATATTTCTGGTAGGTCCCCCGTTTCCAGTGACCTACTATACACTATGGAGAGTGGCAAGCAAAGTGCTCCTGCACACTCTTTCAATACCCATGGTGAGATTCCATCCGGCCCAACAGCTTTTCTCACATCCAGCTCCAATAGGTGCTTCTTGACCTCATCTCTTGTAATTTCGAACCTATCCAAGGTCACCTGGTTTGCTGCCACCTCTTCTAGCGCCGCGACATCTCCTTGTTCTATTGTAAAGACCTCCTGGAACCTTTTGTTGAGTTCTTCACACACCTCTTTGTCATTCTCTGTGTACCTGTCCTCGCCCACCCTAAGTTTCATCACCTGTTCCTTCACTGTTGTCTTCCTCCTGATGTGACTGTGTAGTAGCTTTGGTTCGGTCTTGGCTTTATTAGCTATATCATTTTCATACCTTTTCTCAGCTGCTCTTCTCACACTAACATACTCGTTCCTGGATCTCTGGTATCTCTCTCTACATTCTGGTGTTCTGTTATTACGGAAGTTCCTCCATGCCCTTTTGTTCAGCTCCTTTGCTTTCATACATTCCTTATTAAACCACAGATTCTTCCTTTGCTTCTCTGTTTTTTCCTGTCGGGCTGGGACAAACCTGCTTACAGCCTCCTGACATTTTTGGGTGACATAGTCCATCATGTCTTGTACGGACTTGGTTCCGAGTTCTGTGTCCCAATGTATATCCCATAGGAATTTATTCATTTCCTCATAGTTTCCCTTTCGGTACGCCAGCCCTTTGTCTCCCAGTTCTTTTTTGGGGGTGATAATTCCCAGCTCAATCAGGTACTCAAAGCTCAATACTCTGTGATCACTGATTCCCAAGGGGGCTTCCAACTTAACTTCCCTTATATCCGACTCATTTAGGGTAAAT